CTCATCTTCATTATCAAAAGGCGCTTCAAAGCCCCAAAGAGAAACCATGTTTCCTTCCATCACAGCATTGTGCAAAGTCTCCTTTAGATTATAACCCCAGTTGTCTGGATGAGTGGAAGTGTCAGGAGTACAGCTGTAAATATATTGCCCGGTAGGATCAGTGAGTAGAGAATAAACATACTGACCATCAGTATATATGTCGTGTCCACAATCACTATCTTCTGATGGCCACCACACTCCCTGCACAAGAGGCATCAGCCAGTCCAGGTATTCCTGACAATGGGATAGCCAAGGGCCATCCACATTCATGGCCTCCTGGTCAATTATGGTCCACGTATTAGCACCGCAAGGAGATGAATAGCTTAAATCTATTGGTCTGTCTTCCAAAATACAGTTGCACTTGTATGAAGGAAGATTTCCATTCAAATAATTTGTTGTCCACATTTCATTTCCCCCAATACAAAAATCAGGTGATGTACATGACACAGCATGTAAATCTGTAGGCTGTGTATCAAAATTCTCATTTGATCTCCAATCCATTGTATTGGCATTTCCATCTCTTTTACACAAATTCATTACTGTGTTGCCAGATTCTGACCCGTTCAGAAACTCATCCAAAGAGACGAAATTCTGGTTTAAGACATCATAAAGAGGCACAGAACTCTGACATATCATTGCTGAACAATCCCTTGTGTCATATTCACCATCCAAGCTGGGGCTAATCCTGATTTCCTCAGAAACAGGATACTCTCCTAACCAGTGGAGCCAGTTGGCATTCCATGAAGAACATCTGAGAAGTTCATCTGACTTTTCACGGAGAACCGCCTGATAAATATGAGATTCTGTATCTTGTCTACAAAGGGCCAGTTCTGTCGATAAATCTGTCTTTTGCTGGGAACTGTTCAGAGGGATGGATCCTGGATGGAGAGGGATGGATTCCTTGGCTGCCCTGGCCAAACAGGCATTCATCCTGGGAGTTTGGGCCACTCTCTCTTCTACCTTCTCTTTTGTTTGGTGTATGAAGGTCTCTAGGAAGCTGGCTGCCCCCTCTTTGTCTCTGGGGTCTTCTTGGGTTTGGAGTGCCACTTGAGAACCCCCCACTTTGTCTCTGGAATTAGTTTCCTCCACATTCTTTTCAAAGATCTGTCTCACACCACCCAGAGAGCTCAGATTTGTCTTATCTACCTCACTCAGAAACATGTTTTCACCTGAACTGAATCTGAATAATCCAGAAAGCAAACCAGGAGAATGGCACTTGTGGCTGGCTGTGTTGTGTTGAACGTTTTGTCCATCCCTGGAGGATAAACTGCCAGCTGGAGGACAGCGGAAAAGTCCCAAAAGCGAACCCTCCTGAGCGTCGCCCAGAATCTTGCCCCCTCCGACTCCACTAGAAGGCTCCACGTTCCCCCCCACTGTATGCAGGCCAGATCCATTCTGTGTGGCAGCTGTGGCTGCTCCCACTGCTCTTCGGCGTGTTACATCATTTACATCATAAGCACTCAGGTCATCGTGAGCCTGTCTGCTGTCCGCAATCTCTGAAGTGCCTGCTGCAACCCTACTCTTGTGCCCACTTTCTGGTCCCCGGGGACCAGTTTCTGGTTTCCCCATCAGCTCCTCTTTACTTTCTGGCGGAGACTTTGATAAAGAAGTATGGAGACCCTCTGAATTGTTCCCCAAACCTCCCTCTTTGGAAGCAGCAGGATTTTCAGCCGAAGCACCTTTCAAGAATGAAGAGAAGAATCCTTTTTTTCCCTTATTGTCCTGTGGTTTGTCTGAAAAGCTGATGCTGCTCAGAAAGGGAAGCTGCAGCTTCTCAGGGAATGGGAAGAGAGCTTCGCTGCCTGCAGAACTAGCTTTCCTGACACCGTTTTCTGACTTGTGCCATTTTCCCACACCCAAGGTTGTCTCTCTGGGCATGGATTCAGTCGAGGGAGAAAGTGGCAACCGGCTAAGGCATTTTTTAAGAGGACTAAAAAAGCTGACAGAAGATTCTCTTTGTTCTGATGGTTGAGTAATCCCCTCCTTCAGCCCTTCCTGAGGCTTGCCTTCAAGAGGATGAATTACTAAAGGCTCGGGAGGGCGTTCGTGAGCTGCCTTATCCGGCGGGGATGAGGGGCAGGGAACTTGGGGAAATGTCGTCCCTGGTCTCCAGGGAACAGCCGTGCCACCAAAGTCCGCTCTCGAGCTAAAGGCGCTAGAGGAGCGCAAGAAGGAGGTTCCTGGGCCACGGGTTGTGCCCACTGCGGTTTCCCTCTCGCTCGTTTCCAGGGAAGCGCTCCTGTGTTTTGTGCCATCTCCACCAGGCTTCTCACTTGCTTCAGGTTCACTGAGCCTTACGGGTAAGGGTTCAACCGCTATGGCTGTTCCTTGTTTTACGCGCTCTCTCTCTGGTTCTTTCTTTTCAGACAAGGTTTTTAAAGAACTGAACGTACCCAAGATGGAATTCAGAGCTGAACTTGTATTCTGAGGGGAAGACTGGCTCTCAGCATCATTTGCAGGGCAATCTAGAACTCCAGGAACAAGCCAAGCCTTGTCGTCCCTGTCAGATGCTTCTAGGACACTAACGTTGGCAGCACCGGCTCCTTTTGTACAGCTCTTCTGGGTGAAGGAAGAAACCCTCTCAGGCAAGCCTAGATCGGGTCTGCATTCTGCTTTCACATCTGGATTAGGCTGGTTTGACAAGTCCCTTGCAAGGTTTCCTGCAGATAAAGCATGGACATCTGCTGTCTCAACTGTTGAAGATACAAACTTCTCAACTGATGCTGTGAAACGCGTCCTTCCAGAGCTCATTTTTTCTGTAAGGTAATTGAAGAAGGAGCGGGCTGTGTCTGATAATGCCGCTCCTCTGCTTTCGTTCTTCTCCCTGTCCTCCACAGCAGTGGCTGGCTTTGCCTGCTCCGCATGGGCCCTCTCCCCTGCCACTCTGAGAGGAATGCCCTGATTTCTGCTTTCATGTTTTGGAAGGGTTCCCCACCTGCTAATCTCTTCCTCCTTTTCAGCGAGGTATTCAGACACAGTCTCCACCAAGCACTGCAGCTCATCCACCGCAGAGATGTCTCCCACTGCTGGCTCCTTGACAGGCAAGAAGGTCACATGTTCCTTGAGAGAGCCATGCTTGGATTCACACCAGGCTTGTGCGGCTTCAGCCATTTCCTCCTTTGCTTCATTGTCTGAAGCAGGAGAGCACCGAAGATCCTCAGACCCACTGCTGCTTTCCAGTTCCTCAGGAGCTCCGGACGGCCCAAAACGATCAGCCGGTTCTTCTGGGTGCAACTTATCTTCACCATCAAAATGATCTGACTGAGAATCACAGTTTCTGTGTTTGCTGTCAGAGAACCACCTGCTTTTGACCAAAAGGGTATTTCTGTATGGAAGCAAATCTGAACACACAGGCAGCTGCACCCCAACTTCACTGGGACTGCTGCTATATATATCAGTGTCATCGTAACCTGCACAAGTATTATGTTCAGTTCTTGTTTTCATGCTATTTGAAGCAATAATTGTTTCACGTGGAAGTCTCAGCCTTCCATGGTTTTGTGACCTTCTCCATTTGCACTCCTTAAAATTGTGGTCTCTTTGTTTCTTTCCTCTTCTTCTATCTATTGCATCATATTCCTCCAGATAGCAGAGAGCATTAGGATGCCCTGGCTCTGTGCAAACCTCATGTGAGGACCTTGAACTTTTCAGACAGCTACCGGTGCCCTGTCTGGGGAATCGGGGCCTCTTTAGCTCCTGCCAACTTATAGCCCTGTGACTTTTTTCTAAAAAGTCTTCTATTAACTGCTTGCCTAGTTCCTCATAGTTCTCAACATACTCTTCTTGGTCAACATCATAGTCAAATGGAACAAGCATGACTTTTCCACTGCTAATTAAAGGTCCTTGACTGATACATGCAAAGGGAGGAAAAAAGAGGGAGAAAAAGGAAAAAGCAAGAAAGACGGAAAAAGAGCTTTAACGTAATTTTTATAAAGGAGTTTCATAAAGACTAAATACATGACCTTTATGAATAAAAAATAAACATATATGAGAGAATTAAAACATACTTACAATTCTAACCCTTTTCAATGTTAGAAAACATTAGCTTTATTATGATTTTTTCTCAATACTGCACAGGAAATGAAGAAATGGTAGAACAGTTTAGAGCTGGATTCTCCACGTCCTTTGGGGAAACGATTCCTTCCACAGACGTGGAAGGCCACAATGCAGTGGACACCCCCAATAAAGGGCAGAGAGAGGGTTATTGCCACTTCCGGTCTCCTCCAGACCCCACATGGTGCTTATTCTGGAGGATCCCCCCAAACATTCCCCGGGGGTTACAGGATGGAAAAGAGCATCCTGCTCCCTCAGCAGGATCATTCCCTGGAGTGGAGCTCTACTCCCAGGTGCAATTCCACCCCAGACCAAGCTAAAGAGGGGCTGGGTGGTCCAGAACTCAGCAGAGTAACTGAGCAAGGCACATTATGCCAATACAGCAATTTAACAGAATAACCATAAAGTGATATATTACTTAGAACCATTTATTAAACATAGGAGTTGCCTGTTAAAAGTGTCAGTAAAGAGCCAGCCTGTCACACATCACTCTCTGCAGTGGACTAATATACTTTAATAGTAAAGCACACTAATTAGGTTATTAAATTAAGCATAATAACTAATGCTTAAGAATAAACCATCTGAACATCTCCACTCAAGCACCTTATCATGAGAGGTCAAAATGCAAGACTGACCTCAGGAATTAATGCTGCTATTTAAAGTTACCACTCAGTGTTAGGCCATTTGCACCCCACCTTTAACTATCATTAATGACCCTGTTCACAAGGCAGAATTCTAAACAAGAAACCCTACAGGAGCAGCAGCATTACACTCACGGCCTTTTGACAGAAGGCAGGCAAACAATGAGGGCATGCAAAGACAGGGACAGCTCGGGACCCCCCCCTCGCCCACCCCCAAGCAAAGCCACGCCACAGGACACAAGACACGGAAGCTGCTGGAGCACCACCCACCTATCCGACAACTCTAAGGAGTGCCGGCTGTCTAGCGACAACTGGCGACTGGTCACTTGGCTAGAACGCGATCCGGATTCCAGGTCAGTCCGGCCACTCCCAGTTGAGTCTATGCTGTCGTATCTTCTTCAGAAGGCAAGGCCAAGTTGGGGACAGGAAGTACAGAAAGCAGCACAGAAGGTTGAGAGAGCTTAGTAGCAGCACGACAGGACATGAAAATAATTGCAGGGCAGGCGAGATGCTGAGCGGGGCGTTAATGGTGTCTAGCCAGACTACAAGGCAGGCTGGGAACAAGACTGGGGAAACCAGTCTTACAGACTGGGGCCATGAGGGTCAGCACATCTTGGGAGGTTGAATAACAGCGGGGCAACTACTCTCTCTCCTGGCCGCTCGAGGGTCACAGCCACAGCATAGTGGGATGTAGGAATGACTTGGGAGACGGGGCCCAGAGACTCTGCCTAGGGAACGGTCAGGTAAGAGACGGCATAGCCCGCAGCTGGATAGTGGGCAAGGCAAGAGGCTCAGGAGGGACCCTCCCTAGTTTCTCAGGCTGTAAAGGGGACGGGGGGAGGGGAGAATTGTACTATCAGATTTGCAAGATTCTATTAATGTAGCCTTACTGTACAATAAAGCAGAATTAGCTCATCTGGTTATGTTTCTTATCTGGTCCACCTGGTAAGGCTGACACATAGGACGTTCTTCTATTGAAGCTTCTCAGATCCAATTCTTCTGACCTTGCCCACACTTTTGAATGAACATCTGCTCTGCTTTTGGTTGAAGCTTCCCTTCATGTCTGCTTGGAAGCAGAATGCCAGGCTGGGGTGGGTGGGCTGCTCAAACTGCCCAGCTCTAGCCTTTCTGGACTCAATTCAAAGAGGTCACTATTGACCTAAAGGCACTCAAAACCAGCCTCTGACTGCTCAGAGGCATCAACAGACTGAAAATTGGCCCCAGAATCCTTGGGACAGCGGTCTTCTGAAAGGCCCAAGTGGTAAAGGAATGGATGCCACAAAGGAACATTCTGAAACTCTGACATTTTCTGCAAAGCTGTTTCTAAACAAGATAAAATCTGGGCTCTTCAAATTGACTGCTTATGAATGCTTGTTTCTTCAGTATCATCCTATTTTAGGAACGCCTACTCATCTTGTGCTCCTTTTTCTATTTGTTTTCCCTACCATAGTATAGTTGCTTTTTTTAACAAAAAATCTGCTTTTCTGAAGTTCTGTTCCCTTCAAATCAAGAATTCCAGCATTACCGGATGATCACTTTCATCCAATCTTTGCATTACTTCCACGTTGTCAACTAATAATTCTTTGTAACTGGACGCTTGCATATTACTGTAATGGGAACTGTTCATTATCGACCGGTCCTAACAAAACGTATGGAAGTTGACAGAGGGGCAATTTCCTGTCTTCTCCACCCTCTCAACCCACAAACTCCAAAAGTCTCCGTGAAGGGTTATGGGGCTCCCAAGCAATATGAGTTGGCTCATGGAGCCCTCTGGAAAAGGTGGGAATCTACCCATTTTATAAGTTCACAAAAGGAAAGATTCCAACCTCATCTTGCCGACGGTGTTCCTGGGAAGCTTGGGAGGTCTGCAAATGGCAGCAGAGAGACGGGACAGAAAACCTTTGCTCCAAGAACTTCCT